GTACCTGTACTGTAAAATAAGATAATTCTTTCCAATTCCTTGTACGATAAAAATTTCTACAAAGTATTTAAAAATCAAGCGAGAAGTGTACGGTTCAAGTATCGAAAAATACACAAAAGAACAACTATACAACTAATCACTTTTGTTAAAATTTAATCTCTTTTTAAATTCTACAATAAGTTATATCGTTTAATCAAGGCAGGCGTAAAGCTGGTAGTTATGCGTTGCTTGCACAATCACAATCCTCTAGTGTTGTCTTTTTTATCAGTAAAACAACACTCCCATTGACGCACAACCATTTTCTTTCATAGGTTAGAATTTTCATCGACAAATGGCTGTACTTTAAATCGAATACCAAATCTCGATCTCAGGTTAATCGATCGATCACTCGACAAATAGCGCGGTTGAGGTTTCCAAGAAAGAATCGAACTGTTTGGTCGATTGAAAAATTAAAAATTCCCCTAAAATGTTAATCTGTTTATATGGTTTATGAGTAATAAAAACACTTGTTCTGAATATTGTTCTCTCTTTTATACAATCTTAACCCTTTTTCTCTCGAATTACAGTTATTTTAATAATTTTCTGTAGACCTCTAATCCGCCCCGTAGTCGTTCATGGGGATATGTATAATAAAGAGAACCCAATACATACATATACCGCAGTTCACCAGAGTCCATAACTGCGACGCGCAGGTTGGAAGATGGTGGGGGAACGCAGCGAGCTCTCTGCTAATCGCGTTCCACTTCGTTTGGGAGTATCGCCAATCAGGGCGAAGATGCGTACTGGAGAAGCGCGAAGAACGAAAACTGGTCTTTTCGCAGTTATGGACTCTGGTGAACTGCGGTATATATATGTATATGTATAGGTGTTTGATAAATTGCTTCATATGCTTCATAGTATCAAGTTCAATTAATTACAGAATTATATGCTATACCTACTAAGAATAATATCTAAGCAAACGCTTATTTGCGTATCAACAATTGATTGATAATAATGAGGATTGAAGAAAAGTTGTTATACGTAAAATTGCGATAAATGAAAAATGACTGACATCATTTTTGAAATCGAAAATTTCATCTCCGAGTGTTGGGCGAATATTTTCGCCGAGGTATATGATACAGTAGTTTATATGGATCATTCTGCAATAGAATGCTTACATTGGTACACAGCTGGCAAAGGTTATTTAATGCTAAAAAATGCAGGTGCAGTTGCAGTTTATGAATTTGGAATGTATCAATTTCAGGTAGGTGTTTTCATCTTTCAGTTTAGTCTCATTGTGAACATTAATGCAAATACTTTTTTCATTACAGTATGTTAAAGTGAATAATACTAAGAAAGCTGTTATTGTGTCAACCTCTGGTGATCCAGCATTTTATCAGCGAACAATCAGATTGATTCTGGCAAAAAATGCATTTGAAAGTTGCACAGTTTACTGTGGGGCACCATGCTGCACCACAGATCATTCGGATACATCCATGGAAGATAAACTAGACTATATTAAGTTAAAAAAAGACATAAAGACTTGGATGGTTTCAGAAAATATTTCACAAGTTTGTCAATTATTCATCTATTTATGTCATTATCATCTCAGAAATTTGGGAATCTAAAATAATGTTATTTGTAGGAACCTGCTGTTAATATTACTTATATGCCACTTTTCATTGCTCATTTAAATAAGAATCTATTTGTGACACCTCCCTATGGAGATTTAATGCCACCTTTGGATGGAAATATACCAAATGATACATCCTTTAAATTAAATCTTTTAGCAAAGTCATTTCACAAATTATTTGATAGTATAGGTGTTAAACTAGACATCTATTCAGTTGGGAAATTGAGCAGTCGCCTTGCAGAGAGTTTGGAAAGTTGTACATTTAGCAGTGAGCACAAAAGTGTAAGTGGAATGTGCAATTAAAGGAACGCGAAGCAATCATTTTATTATTATATTCATTTTTTGCTTAGCATCCATCAAGAGTTTCAACAGGACTGTCTCTCATTTTCATTGACAGAACATTGGACCTTTGTACACCTACTAGCAATAATACAAAATCCTTCCTCACAAAAGTATTACGAACATTTCCTCGTTTGCCGCACCATGGTAACGACATAGCGATAGATATGTCGCCCGTGATTGGAGCTATAACGGTAGATATAATTCAGTTACTTTTATCTTTAAGTTAGGTAAAGCATAACTGATCTTATGGGTTTAAAGGGAATTCTACAAGCATACCAAACACCGGGATGTTTAGCGAGCATGGAAGAAGGCACCATGGATCGTTTTATTTTACAAACGGAGAAAGAGTTGTTAGCTATTGCTAATCAATCTCTAAATGATATGTCCTCTGTAAAGGATAGTCCAAAATTGAAAACACCAGTGAGAATTTCTGGGCATAGTTTAGAGAAGGTTCTTAATAAGATTCAAACCATAAATAGCATTGATTCTATGATGATGCATGCAGACAAACTTCAGGTACTTGTCTAATCTTCAACTACTTGGTGTTTCTATTCAAACACTAATTATTTTTATTTCGAAATGCAGAGTATCCTGGCGATAATTGAAACGTTAACGTCGCAAAAGGCTGGTCAACTCGAACTGCTTACTAGTTTAGAAAAGTTAGCATTGCAAAATCTTTCCGCCAGTCGAGAATCATCGAGCATACTTATACAAGTAATTTCAGTCTTATTCACAGTTGACGCGTGTTTCGTAAAGTAAAATAAAAAAAAAAAAAAAATAAGCAAAATTTTTATTTAGCTGAGTAACATTGTACGAACGCGACTTCAAAGAGGACTCGATATTGAGAATCTGTTAGCATTACTGACGCATATTTATGCTCTTGCGGGTACGCAAATTCGATTTTCCGCACAGCAAGAACGTCAACTGGAGGAGTCCATTGCAGATGCAATTTTTGAAGATTTTCAAATGTTAAAGAAACATCCATTGACTAGCAAAAAGTCAACATATCAGCTTACTTTATCGCTATTAGGTATACATCATTCTCGTTCGTTCTAGAATACTTTTAAGTACATCATTTATTTTTAATTGTTCTTGTATTAGAAGTGGAAGACATTGCTACGGCACAAGAAACATCGCGTAGAATAGCATCACGTATAATATGTACACTTCGATCAGTAGCGGAACAACGCTCCATGCTGCAAGATTACAGGTGAATTTTAAGTGAAATTGATTTTGCATATTTGTTACAAAGATTTTGTTGCCATCTACATAAGCGATTCTTCCTAGATTTTGTATGATAAAACCAAGTTCTCAAGAGATGATTCGACACGTTAGTGTTTTAGAACAGATAACTAAGGATATAATTTGTTCAGACACAAATCGAGAACTGCGAGATCTTCATCAACGACCAAGTTCATTTATTTCAGCTGGTTTTAAGTAAGCTTATTTTTAATAAATAATGTACGCCTAATGTCGCGTCCGGATTCGAGCAAGTATTTCTATATTTTACAGCTCGATTTTGCGAGGTAAAGCGAAACATCATCCTTGCGATAATCCTCATGTTTTGATATACATCGTGGGAGGAATTACAGCAGAAGAAGCAAAGATAATTCAAGAAACGATATCGATTCACGGTAATAAAAAGTCATCGCCTATAATTTTAGCAGGCTCCACCCTGTTAAATCCTTTAGATATAGTAAACAAAATATTTTTCTGTTGATTATTTTATAATAAATTTATAATGTTTGCAAACATAGAAGTTACTATTCAGTATTATCCATCTTCCATTTTATACCATAAGATAGGATAGAATAATATATTCTTTTAATGGTCTGTACTGTTTCCAATGTACACATAAATTTTTGTGGATTAGGTGTTTTGCATAAATGTATTCTATAAGCAATGTTATTTCCAGACATATTTGTTGCAAATTTTTTTTCTGTATAACGCATATTTTCACAAGGTCTGGTGTATATAGTAACAATGTTAAATCGAGTTGCAGGCACTCTAACAGGTTTTAATAATTTCTTTACATAAGAATCCATTGTCATAGCATTCATTTCACGATCCTGCCAATAATATGCTGTTATACTGTCAATAGCTACAAGAGCAGTTCCAGGATTATTAAGAAATGTATCCTCTAATGTGTGTAATGTTAAAGAAAATTGCTCACTATTGTAACAATTGATGATTTGCAAGTTGTGTAGAGAATTTTGAATAACAGTTGTCTTATCAACATTTTTTTCACCTGTTGAGTCTATTATATTACTCATTGTTTCGCTCAATTTTGAAACTTGAAAATGATGATCCGCATTTATCAAAATAGCGGAAGCGTTGCACCCTTCGATTTGAAAATAGTTTGGTAGAATACATTTCGCGAGAATTCGAGATAGAAGATGAGTTTTTCCAGTTGATTGTTCTCCAGTAATTTCTATGACATCCGTACTTCGAATACCTTCAAAGAACAACGTATCTTCGAGTTCGCATAAACTTGATTTATTATTTAATCTTGTGAGCAATTCAGCTCCGGATTCTATTTGCGATCGCATAATTTATTTACGATAATATTTGTTTACAATATATATAGAAATGTAAACCGTTAAAGATTCAGTTGGTACGGTAGGATGTGGACACGGTAAAACAGTCAACGTTTCATCGAAAATTAGGCCGAACAAAAACTGATTTCAGCGCCATCACAATTATTGCATCCAACTAACGGCATGCTAATGTCACCTAATTAAATTATACCTCCATGTTTAAAAGGAAAATTAGTAAAAAATTACAAATTTGTCAGAAATGTTCCCTCACTCACGCTCCCATTGTCAGTCATCAATCAATCAATCTAAATAAATTTTACGATTATGTAAATACATGTATAAAATAAAAAAAGTCTTGTTAGTAATACCTATAATTGTACAACTTATTGGGAGAATTTAATGTATACATTAAACAAAAATTCTTATCTCTTTGCAGTATATGTATGTACAAGATTAACGATCTATAAGAATCTATCAAATTGACAAGATAATCTTGCACTAACATGGCTGCCGGGATCAATAGAAAACTGTCATGATACCTTTTGCCCATGCTCGTTGGCATTATTACATTTTTTAAGATGTATTGTATAGATAATTCCTGTGAATATGAATGTTTTTAAATTATCATCAAATTTCTTTATACTTCTGTGAAAATGTCATAATTTTGATGATTTGTAATGATAGGTGAAAGTGTTCTGAATAACTGTTGACCCGTGAAAAGAGGGTGATTCACAACAATGTAATTCAGCATTATAAAAATATTACCATTTTTTACGATCCATTAAAATGTACAGATATTATAACAGTACCTAGTATTGTACACGAATGTCAACGATATTTTTTTCTTTTCCAAGTACTAGTTGTATAAGATTTGAATATATTTAATAAAAAATTTTTACATTATTTTTGTTATACAGTTGTGACAAGACAGTGCCTATTTCTACAGTTTTACCTTAGTGTCAAGTGTCACAGTTAATAAGGGAAACTATTGAGTTTCCAATAGGTGAAATATTAATATGGACATTTTTGAATTTATTTGCGTATCTGTGATTACATTTATATGTGGTATAATATGTACGCTATGCGTGGAGTTTTATTTATTCAAAAAATATTTGGAAGATGCTCCTTTGGCAAGTCCTCCAAAAAGATCGATCCATCATGGAATGGCTCAATTACCTAAAGAATTACTTGAGAAGATTCAAGATGAAAAAACAAATCCTAATATAAGTATATCTCGTCAAGCTATGTGCCAAGGTAATGAAAACTTGGCAATAAATTTAACATTGCAATTTTTGTTTAACGAACTTCGTAATGCTGAACGAGTTCGTCTTTGGTTGTATAGAAAATTAAATAACGAATTCAAAGAATTGTTAACTCAGTCGACTACTGGGAAATTATTAGACAGTGTACAGGTAACTGAAATATCAACATTGGAAGTGTTTTTTTAAACTTTATCTGTAAAAATATTTATATATTTTTTAGTTAAGAGATTTAAATTTGGGTACTCAGTTTCCCACGATAAAAGGTTTAGAAGTTGCAGATTCAAAAATAGATGCAGATACAGGTTTATTGGAATCATTGGATTTATCTTTAGATTTACATTATTCCGGAAATTTTCAATTGTCAATAGATGTGAAAATGCTATTGGGTAAAACCGCTTACATGGCTCTACAAGGTACAGAAACAACTAATTTGAATTTTAACTTATCCTTAATAAGTTTTTGTTAAACGAGAACGATGATTTGTTGCAGTGAAGCGGATCAGTGGCAGAGCTAGACTGCAATTTACACGCGTTCCATATACTCATTGGTCTCTAAGCTTTTATTCGGATCCTATACTTGAATTAGAAGTGCAGTCTCAATTTCAAGGACGTCAATTACAACCACAGATTATTTCCTTAATTACAGGACAAATTCGGAGAGCTGTACGTAGGAAACATACGCTACCTCGCTATAAATTACGTTACAAACCATTCTTCCGCAGACTGAACGACGAAGCGGTAGATTTATCGGAAGTAAGATTTGTTCCAAGTATTTTTTCAAAATGTACAAAATGAGAGGAAGAGTATTTTTTGAATTTAACTTAAAAATCTAAATGTTCATCTAGGTTGCCAATATACAATTAACACCGGGTTATTTGGAAGTATCGTTACTAGAAGTGAGTAGATTAAATCTTGGAGTTAATACGCTTAATGCCGAAGATAAATCGCAAGTTGAAGTGTATTGTACAATGAGCGTAGATTCAACACCTTGGGTATATCTGACTCAGTATACTGGAGTTCCTTATATGGTGTTAGACTTGATTATTAGTAAAGTTAGTTCTCAGCAATTAGGTGTAGTATTTAAACAAGAAATTGTGCCAGAAATAGGTCACGTTTGCGTGCTAGTCGAAACTATAATAACTGGAAGTCCAGCTGCAATTGCTGAGATGAAAAAGGGAGATGTTTTAGTAGCGGTAGATGGTAAAAAAGTGTCTAACATGAATCAAGTAGGTAAACTCGTAAAGAGTGCTGTACAAAGACGTTTCATTATAAGGGTTGAAAGGAAGTACTCGAAAGCAGATTTGGATAAACAAGCGAGCATGAAACTGGATAGCGAAAGATTATCAACAGAAAAAGGAATGGATAGGAAAACGTTGAAAACTGATGTATCGAGTAAAGGAGATACTTGGAATATTGAAGAGAGTAGCAAGATTAAATTTGAAAGTCAAATAAAATTTTCAGATTTGAAAGATTCTGAAAATGAAACCTTTGACAAACTAGAAGCAGGTAGTAAACTTTTTAAGAGAAGAAAAAGTAGTGCACATATTACAGATGATAGTGCTGCTCAAACACCTGACAGTATACCTTCTAGAAAAATTTCAATTACTTCGAGTCAATCTATAATATCGAGTAGCTCTCAGTTTTGCTTTAGCGACGATAACTACATAACAAATGTGTCGGATTTGTATTATACCACAAAAGAAAAGGAACATGCTTCTTTGATTAATTTCGAAGAAACTAGAAACTTTCAAATTGACTCGGAACTTCAGTATCTAAATATTGGTGTATGGAGTCGTGTGAGAGGGGGAGAAATTCCTGCAAAATTATTAGGATATATAAACGTACCGATGAAATTAATACTAGCACAATGCTACACGTCTTCAACCGGTCATTATCTTAAATGCCATGCTTTGTTACCACCAGACAGTGGTATGTATTATTATTCATTATCAATTAATGATTAACATTGTTTCTATAATATCATATGCTTTATCACTTGGTTCGTTTTTTTTTTTTTCTTTCTTTTAAAAGCTTCTTTGACAAGCGTTCATCCAAAGCTACAAGGATATTCCGGATTCGATCCAACGCTTTGTTTCGGTGATATTTTATTATCTTACGTATGGGAGTCCAGTTATCCAAATCGTCATCTAACTGGTGATTCAGGCAAGAAAGAGAGTACAGAAGCTGCCAAAACACAGCCAACATTGAGCGAAGAGATGACAAATAAAAAGATGCACGACTTTATCAGAACGCATTTCCATAGAGCGACGCATTGCGATTTTTGTACAAAAAAGGTTGACATTTTTTTTCTCATATCAATGAGACCTTATATGGGAAATGAAAATTTATATCTACTATACAGATTTGGCTAAAGGATGCGGTACAGTGTAGAGACTGTGGCATGGTGTGTCATAAAAAGTGCGAAGTCCGTTGTCAAGCATCGGGGATGTGCGGAGCTGAGAGTATAACGACAGTGGCACTAGAAGCAGACGAAATAGAGCCTAATACTCTAATCGGGGAATCAGGTCCAGAAATTTCTCTAACCAGTTGCGAAGATAATGTACAGGTACTCAAGACGTAGTCAAAATTTCTATTACACAAAAAATGGCATTGCCAACCCGTTCAATTTTTTTCTTCTTTCTGTAAATTGTATGCACATACGTATACTTGAGAGAACAGTGAACGTTATGGTTGGCAACTCCATAAAGCAGACTTGAATTTTTATTCGTTTTCCGCTACAATCCAATGTCATTTTCCAAACAATGTTCCAAACGAACAATAATTTTGTATTTAAGATAGGATAGGATTTTCAAATGATATTTTGCAATTAAAGAAAAGAAATGAAAAAAAAATTTATGAAATATGTAATATACATGCAAGATATATTTTTACGGAAGAAATTGTATATTAATTTTGAAAAGTTCAATTTTTATCATTCTAATTGTCACTTGAATGAATTTTTCAGAAAGAATTATTATACAATAACAATCACTATGCATATCTACGCTTTACTAGTCGTACTTAATTGTACAGTATGTCGAATGCTGTAATCAAGTAATTGCAGTTTTGGGCAATTAATGATAATTATTTTAAAGAACAACTACTATAGTATTCTTGGTATTTTGTATATAGGGAAACAACTGTTAAATACGATTCACTTTATTGTTGGCAATAAAACTGATCATCCGTAAATAGGGGAGGTGAAGGTTTTTTGTAGGTTTGCACCTTGACCTTGCTTTCTGATTTTTAGTATTTTGGGAATTTTTGTAAGTAAATAGATCACTTGCTTTGTTATCGTGTAATTAAACCGCGTGTAAGCGAATATTTTACCATATTTATTACACGGTTGGACGATGAAAATTACATATTAATAAATGTGAAATCCGTTGATCGATTAATCAGGGTGCAACTATGATGGCCATGAAGGCCAGTATAGCTAACACTCTGTTGGGCCTGAAGAAGGCTGGAAGTACAAGTTGCTTGGCCCCACCGGCTTCCGGTACCGGTTTGGCATCTAGAAGTCTTCCCCCCAGTCCCTGTGCATCCCGCAAGGTAGAATTTAATAACACAAATTTCTTCATTTCGAACGGAGAAGGATCAGATTCAATGCTCATCAATTATTAACCGTCTACGATCATTGAACGATATTGGTTTGATTTTTCCTGGTACATTAAAGACACAGCTTTAGACCTTCTCTGCTCGATATTTGTTCTTGGAGAAAAAAAAAAACGCGCTTATGACAAAGGTATTTGAGTGTCTAGTTTTCAAGCTTGAATCCGTTCTATCTTAATTAAAGGATTCAAAGGAAGAAGGTACATTATCGTCCTTTTGGTTTGAAATTTACTTTACTTATGTGAAAATCTAAAAATTTCTTAAAAGAAACAATGCTCTTTCTTTCTCTTGTATCCTTCATTTGCATTGACATTTTCACTTGTTGCAATGTTTCTTAAAATTCTGTACACCAGCTTGCGCTCTTCTCTACTTTTGCTAACGATCACACCGTTTTCCGTTGCTCATGGCACTAATTTATTTATTTGGGAATACCTAACAGATATACACGCAGATGCACATTAAAGCCATTACGCTTGTTATACATATAAGATATTATGTATGTATATAATACATATGTATATCGATGCTGTTACAGCCTTTTTACAAAAGCAATAAGCGTTAAATAAAGTTGGCTTTTGATTGAGTTTAGTAACTGTTACCGTTGTTAAAAGTATCGTATGAAATCGAGACAGGTGCATTATACTCTAGGATCAAGATTTCAGTGTTACGTTTGAGCTCTGACGAATCTGATTGAATTATTGAAACATTTAGAATTCATTGGTCGGAGGATTGGGCATAAGTTCTGATCTTTTGGAGGGTGCTGAGCCTAACGTGGCAGCACCTTTGTTAGCCGGAGATTTGGACGATGGTCTTATGTCCAGAGCTAAAGATACCGGCAAGTTTTTGTACAAATACTTGGAACCTCAAGAACGCGTCGAAAAGATCAATGCCATGGTAAGCATAACAACTGCAACATATTTCTGATTACAAGTTAACATTGATGATTTTTATTACAGATGGGGAAGCTGAAGACTGCGCTCGACGCGGAAACTACCTCAAGATTAGAGTTATCGCAGAGCGGAGAAATGGACAGTATTAAATTGATCGCGCAGAGTGATTCGAGAGTGCAAGCACTGAGTGTCTTACTTTTGCATTATTGTGCTGGTTTACAGCACGCTCAGGAAGCGCTAGATCGATCGCTAAATAGTAAGGAATCTTAACGAACCTGAAGATTCACGAATGGAAATCAAAATACAAGATAAGAAAGATTACGGTGTTGATATGCAAACGTATAAGTATAAAGATGACATACCCCCCTTTTTTTTTACGTGGAGGAAATCTTCAACCCCTGGGGAGGGGCCGGAGGTAGTGTGGGTATGATAGTACTTAATATTTTTGTACATCAAGGTGGTAATCTTTCGATTTTTGATTAATCCTCTGAGAGCGATAGTTGAATAGAAACACCTTACGAAACATTCTCTATAGGTAATACAACAAACGTTCCAAACTTGACAATTTACTTCAATCGGTCTAAATTAGCGAACATCGATAAATTTGTTCAATTTAGAAAATTTTACGTCTTATATATTACATGTATGCCAATGGGTTCTACGAATCGAACGCGCTTTGCAATGTTTCTCGAGATCCTTGTCGCGATACTCGTATAATAATAGATCTCGCAAATAATACTCGTGAATTTTAATCGTGATATCTCCATAGCTTACCAGAGAACACCAAATACTAAGACTTGTATTTACAGATTATTATATGTATATTCGTAGAGAAGCGATCGCAACATGTGCTTATCAACATGTAATTACGCGATACACAATTTCAAATATCTCCAGCGATATAAGTACCTATAGACTATAGATGATCTAGCTTGTAGAGTTAGCTAAAAAAGATAAACCAGTATGGTGTTTTTGAGTTCAGTAGTAAGGTAATGGGAAATTAGCTACTTAAACATAGTAATCCATAGTTGAATGGAAAAGGAATTATTCTGTTTGATATCAGTATATCATTTACTTCAATAATTAATTAAGGGTTTACTCCATGCTCTTGTTCCGTTTTTTTCCTTTTTCTGTTTTTTTTTTTTTTTTTTTTTTTTTTTTACCAAATCACGTCTTACGATTAGTGATTCGAAATTAGCTGCAACGAAACTGACACGAATTACGACTGATTTTATCAAATATAAATGCGTATCAATGATCTATCGTCAAGCGTGTAAGATAATACACGGTACGATAGAATTCCATCCAACAGAATGAAAACATTTCAAGTATCAAAGTGTAAATTGCGATTCATTGTTAAGAAAATGTAAAATGAATATACAGAAGAAATCAACAAATAAGATAATGAATACAATAGATTGATATATGAGAATTGTTTCTCGTTAGAGTGTGTGAAAGAGAGAAAGAGAGAAGTTGGCGGTGTTTAACGTTTTCGTTGACGCTGCATTGGAACGTCCAAGTTTCTCAGTAAATATGAAAATCTTCGAAAAACGGAGGCGCAGTTAACCGACACAACGCACAAAGAACCTACGTCAGAGCCAAAAATTTTATAGGGCCGAACGCGTTTACGAAGCTTGTTCGAACAACCATCTAGAAAAAAGAAGTTTCTGGTGGTCAATTCTGTCGTATCTCGTGTTTCGTTTACAGCGAATCGAGCTATGTTTTCTCATATCTTTTCTATCGCGTTACCAGCCGAACGATCCAATGATTTTTCTCAAGTTTTCCGAGTACGGAAATGATTATTCGTGGAGCACAGGATGTTTCCCTCTGTCGCGCGTTGCCAGATCATAGTTGGCGTTAATTCAGAATTAATAAAATTGCGCGTCGTTTTTGGAAACGTTACCATTTCTCGAATCCGGTAGACAAGTTGACGACTGGGGAAGAGATGAAGGACATTTTCCTTGTTTTCTAAGAAGAGAGTACATACTTACATATGTAAGTAACTTAGGCATGTGCAACACCGCGTACATCGATCTCGATGAAGAACCTTTTATCCGTCGTCCATGAGAGAATCAATACGAACACGACGACTGAGAAGTCATGGGGGATTTTGGCCCGTGAATCTATTCTCGTCAGTGAAATGCACACGCAGTATCCTCTGGCCACGTGCCAAACATGCCGAAGAATCGTATAAACATTTTATCCCTGTTGGGCACTAGGCTCTACAATGAATGGAGAGCAACAGAGTCCTTCGAGTTCGAGACCGAGACCGAGTCCGAGTCCAAGTCCGAGAGGAAAACAGCCAACGTTCGTTTCGTTAATTATCCAAAGGATTCATGAGTTTCGTTTTATGTTTATATTTAAGCCGAATAAGCCTATATACCTATTTGAGTAAAAATCATTGAAATTGATAATGGTAAATAAAAAAGAAAATTGATAATTATCTAACGATTTCATTATCCCCATCATCGAACGACAGTGAACGCAATGAGCTTGTTAATAGGTTGAAGGAAGGCATCTAGGTCGAAACTAGAATTAGAAAATGCTCTGATTTGAGCCTCAACTTCTAACGTTTCGATGTCGTGTAACTAAGGACAGTTCGACTCTTTCTGCCATCCATCAAGTACCTTGTTTACAATTACAAAGAACTGAAATTTCTATTTCCAAGTAAATAATCAGAAATGTAGTTTAACGCGGTGAAACGTATACCTACTCTCTTCGATCTCGCGATGTCGGCCAAAACTGAAAACGCAGACGGAATTTTCTTTTGTCTGAAACGACCCGGCAATTTCGCCAGCTCTTCCAGACGCTGCTGCGACTGTTTATTATCGCGATCAATGTATACACGTGCGCGTACGCAATTTCTATTTAAACGTCTCCTTCGTAATTACATTTTCTGCCTTGACGCGATTCCTTCAAATAAAAATAAACTACTGAAATACATAGAAATACATAGAGAAGTAAGTACCATCGTCCGTCAAGTTTTCAACTTTGAGAAACGTTAACTGATGAAAATTTTCGTTTACAAATAGCACGTGTCATTTTTATTCGCGGAATTTACGTGGCAATATCGAGTGTTATTTGTGAAAAATACGAAGAAAAACGTCTGAAATGAGAGCGCGGCTGGAAAAGTCTGCGAGGGGTTGCAATGGCGCAGTAGGCATCGTGCCGAATCAACGAAAGAACCAACAGTTCGACTTATTTTCAACCTTGATTTTAAAACGACGCTTTCAGAGAACATCGCGAAAGGAACAAAGCTTTCGTCACGTGTATAGGGCTGGCGCGGCGTGACGGAAGCGTGGCGGAAACGCGTTAAACGCGTCCAAGATTTTTCATTACGCCGTGCCATTCGCTTCCTCGTTAACGCGCGAGCCATTCCGCTAATTGCACCTTTATATAACTACACGATCAAATATATACATATGTACTTACATACATACCTATGTATGAAATGAAATATTCGACCAACGCAACGACAATCGAGGAATCATTTGTACAACGTTGTGTAATTCCCTCTTCAAGATATTCTGCCCGATGAACGCTTTCTTCACCCTTCTTGCGTAAGTCCGCGGATACACCTGAAAAATTGAACCGATATCAGTGAAAAGTTTCAAACTACCTGATTCGTTGTATTATACAATGCTGTTCAACGAAAGTGAATCCAAGGATACTTAATTTTCTTATTTAAAAAAACGGAAAGGGGTGAGGGGTGAGAGAGAAATTCTTATTGTAATAATTGTATAATACGTGGCGGGAAAAATGTTCAAATATCCCGTTCTATATTATATGAATTATAGATGAAAGAAACTTGGAATAAATTAAAAAGCAATGAAAAAAATAAGATTTAAAAGTTGGTAAACTAAGCGTTGTAGGAAGAGTCACGTAAACGCGCCACTTTCCAAACTTACACGCACCGTGCGATTATCTTCCTACCTATCGCACCATTAAAATGAATTTCTTCGTCTCGATAGAACGTGCTCCATTACGGTGACGTATCTTTCAAACAAGTACGCAAAGTCCTTCTGATAGGCTCATTTATCTAGCTATTTCTGTACGAAGAAACTTCAATGCCACGTTCAACGTAGTTCGACTCTTAAGAGGTGTAACGCGGAAAAGCCATCAACCGCTTCACCAAACGGTAGGTACATATTTATGTACATGTAATTGGCGCGTTACGTTCTTTCTCCTGTTTGTCTGGAGACAATATCAAGGAAGAGGGTGGCCTTACTCGTTACAACCTTGATCCCCGGCCTTGCACGTTCGTGGAAAAGTTGAACGGTAATTTCGACAGGTTGCAGGTCGGCTGCACCTGGTCGTGCATGTGCGTCTCGGTATTTACGATTGTTTTCAAACAAAGAGAGGGAATCGAAACAAAGTAGTCAGCTGATCCGAGATGCATCTTTTGGTGGGAGAGCCGCATCGAAGGCTTAAATAGCACCGCGTCGAGTTTCTGCACTACAGTGCCAGGCAGCGTCAGCTGAAACGCTCTCGTTGCCAGACCAAACATACTAAACTAGGTCCTCCTTTTGCCTTTGAGAAAGTAACGATCCTTTCAACTCACTTTCCGATCAGATGTTGACTTCGTCAACGTTACTGCGTACTTTTCTTACTCCTTACGCCCCAACGACAATCTTCGTCCCATTGTCGAACGCGATAGTTTTCTCGAAAGTGCGCGTTTAGAGCAGAGGCTGCGATTCGAAACATGATAGTTTCCTGATGCTGAAACGAGCGAAGAGTGATACGAGCGATACGTTGAGGAAGAAATCATAAAAGCGTGCTAGCTGTTCTCGCTGTGCTCGTTTTTTCAGAAGATTCAAAGGTGAACTTTCAAGAGATTCTTCGAAGATAGCTCTTGCTTTCTTTTTCCACTTGGAGTTTTCACGTTTCACGTAGCGGTAAAGGAAGAATAGAGAAGAGAAGAGATGAGACCACCCGCGTACAATGGAGAGGATGTACAGATTTCTCAGGAACAAGGAGAGAGAAACGTGGCAATGGCTGTTTGCGTGCAGTTGGCGGGCCGGGCAATAATAAGGGTAGTTTCCCGATGCGAAGAGGCTCAGGACAATTGTAATTTAGGTAGGCCGAATTCATGTAATTCCACTCTCATTAATCATCTTCTTTCTGCTCCGTTTCTTTGCCTGGCTTACATTGCTATTAACTTTTGCTTTGTTTATCATCGGATTTGACAGTGATTTATTCAAAAGATTTCCACGAGAAAGTTGCTCGAGGAAACTCGTTGAATTCTGATCGAGAGAAAACGATCATAATTTCGAGATATACCTACACCTATTTGTTGTAAAACCACTGTATCATCTTTTACTTTTTCCTAAGCAAACCAATTATGTACATTCAATTTAATAAGAAAGTGTACCCATTTTTTTCCTTTCGATTCAATAAACAAAGATAGATAATCGGTTAACGAACATAATTGTTTCCTTCGCGTTTTATATACTTTCTAAGCTACGATATCTTTCCGCCTTTGAGGTATTACACTTTCGCTCAGCGAGGATTTCGTTCCATCGTTCGTGGAAAACGTTCCTCCAGTATTTTTTTTCCTTTCAAATGGCAATTCGAAAACGGAACGTTCATTTTTTACTTGGAAAAGAAACAAAGAAATAGGTTGCGTAGGTTTTACTCGTCGATGCCGTGATAAAAAGAAATTTTTAGATAAGATATCGGGCTAAAACTGCATCGCAAAACATTGACACCTGGACTAATCCATTCTTTCTTCTTCTAATTAATTAACGCTTTTTACAAATTTCATAAACTGTTCTAAAAACGCTTACAACCAAGCATCAAAAGTATCACACGAAATTGTTAATTAGTCGATGAGTTGAACTTGGATAATTCTAAGTTTTTTAGAAATCGAAGAAAGCGGAAATTTCAAGTGGAAAGTTTAAGCCCTAACGATAAGATTTACTGTTTAAATGCTGGTTACGTATAGGTAACGCATCGTCTGACCCCCTACTGGCATAATCTACTTACGCCAGTAGAATCAACGTTAACGCAACTCTCGACGTCTCTATCACCGTGAAAATCGGCGATAATTTTGTAACGAATTGCAAAGTAGTGAAAGCAAGACAATATTCTACATAGTATATACATAACATTAGAAGAAATTTAATGTTCACTTCTTGAGAAAGTTGCTTCGAGTAAATTAACCCTTTGCAATCCAAATATGCCTCCTACTCTGAACCAACCCAATAATGAGTGTTTACCATTTACAATATCTATAATAAAATTTCTAAATTAAATTCGTCACCTATAATTTTATATTATTTAGTATTCTATAATGTTCAGACTAAACTAGAAAGACTGGTAAATAACTGGCGTCTAATAAATATATGGAATAAATGGACCGCGAAAGGTTAATAGACACGTATGATCGAGTGACCTTAAAATTCGTTCAGTTAGAGGACTAATAAAGTTGGCAACACGATATGCGTTTCTGGCCGGCCTTGATTCGTTGATTCAACCGACGACCTGTAACGAGCTCGACTTTCAAATTACCGTGACAAATTAGTTCGACTAGCATTAGGTGGTACACGTCGTTGCAACGAAAGATCGACGTATACTTTCAGAGCACCCTGTAGATCAGGCGAATCGAATCGTTTCCTGATTCGATCTAGAAGAAAGAACGGCTCTCACAGTCCTTACCTTATCCGTACACCTGGATAGATTTCAAACCTTTCTCAATGCCGCTTCTTCCACTCTTCCATCTTTCAGTCTTTCAGTCTTTCAGTCTTTCTGCTTTGGCCTGACTGGACATCGTTCTTTGCTTCGTATACAACTACCTCCGCTGATGTATTTAGAGATCTATAACAAAAAGCATCTACTCCATCAAACGCAATGCTTTGTTCTTGCGTTCACACGTTTTTCTCTAGCCTAGTTTTATCATTTTTCACATATGTTTATAAACAATGCATGTTGTCCAACTATTCAAAGTAAAGACGATATTTCTAGTTGGTAAGTGGCGAAAGTCTCGAAGCGGAGAAAACGAGAGCGAGAGCCACTTGCCAGCTCGAGAAGTCGCGTGTACCTGTAACAACACATACATATTAGTTATCTTGAAAATCTCATGATCAGTTATATTTAAGAATGACTCTTTCTGTAAGTTTCGCGTGAAAACGATCCAGCATGATGGATCAAGAATGATGAAACAAATTTGCTTAAAAATATACTGGCAGATTTCTATTCTCCAATCATATTTCTATTTAGACTGATTATAATTAGACCGTAAATGTTTATGCAAACATACACTTTCTATTTTAAACTTCTGAAAAGTATGGAATCTTATTTTTCATATTAATTTAATCACCGTGTGTTTTTCTAAAAATATCCACAGTCTAGTTGTAACGTTTCATTTGGAGTAGTGCGCTAGGTGATAGTTGATAATATAGGTATAGGTAACAGGTGGTAGTTCCTCACAGCGATACTGTGGTTCGTGCATCAATTCGAATAAAAGTGAAATGCGTGCTCGGGGTTCTAGCATAGATAATTGGTTGGATAAACATTCAGTTGCACAACTCGTATCCGGTCTTTGTTCCTGAAGCTGTCTATGCACTGATCGAAACACATTGTAAACCTTACACGTACGAGCATGAGTTGTTTTTATGAGTGCAATTTCAAAAAACATGAGATAAGATACAGCTGAAGCATTAGTGTGCTACTTTACAAAAAAAAAAATCAGAGCATAAGATAGAAAATAAACAACTAGCCTTTTATACGATCGTCATGCTTTCTATTCATTTCTTTTTTTCATTTTTCTACCAACACTATGAAAGCGCAAGTTATTAGACAAATATATGTATACATATATACTATAGGTACTTGAATATTTTACTTTGATAGCGCTTTCGTTGGACCGTTCATTGTTAAAGCGATCGGTGCACACGTGCATACAATCGACGCGTCAACTCTGAGTCAATAGTCTGTCAACAGGAAAGATCTGTTGCACGTTTTGGAAGCATTCGTGTGCACGAAAGGTCAATCTCAGAATAGTGAACCGCTATGAGGCCTTGGCAAAGTAAATGCACGTGCTTTGCATGCCGTACCAGAATCGTTACTTCTTCCTGATCCTTTTTACATAAACTTCCTACAAAGTGTTAACGAACTAACCAGTATTTACATCGTTTCATTAGTTCTTCAAATTATTCATCGTCGATTCTAAATGACAGATACTTGAATTTTCCCATTAAATATTATATATGTATGTACGTACACAAAAGATTCAACTTACTGATATGTATTTATCTGATTTCCTGGTATCTTTGTTGGTACTTGTCCAAGGTATAAAATGGAAAATTTGTATTTCAGAAAATGAGCCATATTAAGAGAAACTTATGGTAGTAGATATCTTACGTGGTTCAAATCAAAATTGAAATGAAACGCGCATGCCTAAAGAACATGGTCGACATTAATTTCCAGCGCGATATCAAACAAGCGAATGTCCCGTAACTATTTTCATACCGTTTAAACGCGATTTATACCATTCTTTTATTCGTCAAAATTCAAATTTTAAATTAAGAAGTTACGTTTACTGTATACAATATTCAATCATTCGAAATATTAAAATGTACCGGGTACTTTGAGAGTATTATTAATCCTGCTTTTTAAGCTTCTACTCTGCTCCGCTAAAATACAATCTTCCGGAAAGTAGGTAGAACGAATGCCAAGGACGGCAAATGGATGCTATTTATTTCGGAAAATTGTCAAAAATAGATGTTTCGAGGTAAAGGAGCCAGACGGCGAATTCGAGAACTTGTACTGAATCAGTATGTCTTAGCAAGATGGCGAACGCCGTCACCAGAGTGGTGTTGCGCTGCGAGGAAGCACAGAAAAATGAGAGTCTTGGTAAATTGTCTTTCAAAATATACCTAATAAATTACTTAATTAGACTATCGTTGTTTTATTTCTTAGTATCATTTTAAGTTGATCCGTTTAAATTGGTCGTTACACGTGTAGGTGATTGAATTTAGTTCATGACCTAGTTTTAGCTGCTACAGGTGAATCGCGGCTTTTATAAAAATCGTTGTACACTTATTTATTTTTCTCTTTCATTTCTCTCCATTTTCGATATAATGCGTTTGCACGACACGATAGAATAGTCACGGTCCTAAATTAAAAAATTAAAAAGCAGTATTTAAAAAATGTACAATTTCAATTGTTATCGTCGCACGATGGCATTGATACATTGACCTACTTTAACAGCTGATCTATCTTCATGCTCCAATTGTACTAATTACGTAATTTTTTTTTATCTTACGACTTTTTAAATTTTCAATAATGCAAATTAAATTTCGCATAACGTATTCCTTGCGTTTCAAAAAGTGATTATATAACATTTACTAATATTGCATTTTTTTTATTTTTTTCAGATCTATCAGAATGCCAATTGATGCAAGTACCTGATGCGGTTTATCATTTAATGAGACACACAGAATTAAAAAGATGCGATCTTTCCGGGAACGTGATAACAAAAATTCCGCCAAAGTTTGCTGTAAAATTCTCATTAATCACTGGTAAGCTTTTCAAGATCATTTTTTTTTTAAACATGATCTGTTTTTTTCTTTTTTCTTTTTTTTTTTTATTTGAGCTACAAGGTAACATAACATGTAACATAAATTCAAACACATAATCGTTTCTAGAACTAAATCTCAGTCACAATCAAATGAGCAAGCTACCAGAGGAACTTGCAGAATTACAAGCTTTGGAAAGACTGGATATATCACATAATACTTTCATTGCTCTACCACCTGTTACATGTCGAATACCACAGCTAAAGCGGCTTCTAGCCAACAACAATTCAATCATTGGTAAGTGTTGCACACCTATAGTACATCAGAAATATTTCAAACAATTCGGTTACCGATAATAATTCCGATCTTATAATTCCAGATATAGACGTGGAAAGACTTAGGCACGCTCCAGTTTTGGAATTTATCGATCTTCAGGCTAATCCATTAACGGCTAGAATGCACGATCTTCTCGGTACTTTGACTCGAATTAAAATCGAACTGACGCCTAGACAGGTCGAAGAGTGGGAAGATCTTACTATTTGAGGCGAATCTATAGAAATGTTAAAGAAAAAACGATCAAATCTGCCAAAGCGGCTGCTAATCGTCGAATGTTCGTCCCACATGGACGTATAGTTTGCTTCCACATTTCTTGACTGATATTCTTCGAGGATTTGCACACGGATCGTTGTGCGAATTAAGAATAAACAGCAAGTATTTGTACAGTGATAAAAAAGCATATGACTGACCGATAACCGATCTGGCGATAAGCGGCCGGCATACGTAACTGATCACAGTTTACGGTTCCTTACGATCTGTACTTAAAGAGATAGAATCTGCCACGTACCTGGAACTTTCTTAATTGATCTCGAATGAATACCGATCAATCGTTACTTCATTTTCTCGTTTTCTACCGTGTGATTTTTTTTCTTTTCTTCTTCTTCTTTAGATTTTATTAAGTTGCCCGCTCGTTTGGCCGCGCAATGCTGTGATCGATGTATGTAGGTACGTGTAACATCATGAGCTACCGATTCAATTTATTCTATTACATTTTTACTAACTCCAAATAAGTATCCTGTAAATTTAAGATACGTTTTATTATTTTATATGCGTGGACTTGACATATTATTGTAATAAATTGTATGACTGCCAGTTTACGGGCGATCGACTGCTGATAAATGTTCGCCATAATCAATAAATACTTTGATTTTATAAAATACAAAAGAAGAAATTTAAAAAAAAAAAAAAAAAAGTGTAATTCAGGTATACCTGTTGATACGTAAGAATTTATAGTTCTTTCATATATTTAACGGACTTGTAAGAATTTTGCAAGAACGTTTGTATTTAATTTATACAAACAATGTGTATTAATCGAAATGTGTTACGAATTAATTATAATATAGCAGCGTGTAGATGCACAACACACACATCAGAATGTATTGCTCTGTATTTCTGATCTAGTCAATTGTCCGCGAAATGTTGCAATATACTTTAAGAAGCATAATGTTCTATTTTATTTCCTTCGTTTCCTCTTACGAATATGAAGGAATAATTAATCGTTTGCACAATCTTATAGGCAAAACGTTCAATCAGTTATCGATAGGTGGGATGTACCGAAAACTGCTTCGATCACATAAAATACTTCTAGATCGTGCATGTTGGTTTAGTAGCTATATTTTTTTCAATATTAATAATAATAATTATAATAATAATTAAACGTATAATGAGTCACAGAGTTAATTATCTACAATACTTGCTCATGGATATAAAATCACAAAATATACATAGAATGGACGCGGTTTAATATTAAGAATTAAGGTAGACATACGGACTTTTTACGTTCATTTTACGTTCTATCATTATCTATAATAATTTTCTCTTTTCACTTTTAGAAAGTGATATACAGCCTATCAGCGACCGATGATCAAGCGAAGACCGAAAACGTTCGCTGAAATCGATGAACGCGCGCGAAAATACTGACGATTCTCGCAAAAACCTCAAACTCCTCGATACTTTCGCGACTAAACGGATAAATTAAAAAGGTATCGTTAAAGACACGCCGCGCGATAGCGATTGCTCGGAACGAACCCTAAATAGAATCGTACGTCAGAGCGAAGAGGAATTACAATAAATCAGCTGGCAACTGAGCCAGAGAAGAGGGCCGAATGATATTCGTTTACTCGCATACTTGCGTATCTTATATACCAAAGCTACACTTTAATGAATGATTAATAATTATATATATATACATATACATATTTTTAATACGCGAGTATATATACGACTACACGAGTTCGATACACCGCAATTGAATCTAGGACGAATCTAGGCTTTGTAACAGCGAAGCTAAGAGTTCCCTCCAAAGATACCGAAATAGAGGCGTTTAAGGATCAAAAAGAAAGGAGAAAAATAAAAAAAAAAAAAAAAAAGAATGAAAGAAAATATTAACGCCACCGTTTCGTACTTACTCCTGTGAATGGAAACAAATTCATTGCTTCGCATGAAGAATCAAATCTGGCACTCACACGCGTACCATTCGCTTCATTTTTTCTTCTATGTCCTTTGCAAATATGTACAGAAATATATCCTAACTAAATTCACACCCAGGCAACATCATAAACAAAAACTTGGCCGATCGTTCTTCGGAATCTACTTGCTGTACAGAGCACCACCTAATCATCCTCCTCTTGTATGTATTTCAAAAACAAATACGTCAATTAATAAACTTACACAACAATAAAAGATAGAAAAATAACGACTCTTAAGTAATTGTAAAGTAATGGCATCAATTTTAAAATCACCGGCAGAGGCAAGGAACCGATCATTTTCTCCTTATTCGTGTACGTATACGTGTATATAGGTGTAGAAAAAAAAAAAAAAAAAAAATTAACACTAGGATTGGTCAGTTTCTTGATCCTCGGCAAAGATAACGCGAATTAGAGTTGCCTACTTTACAATCGAGTCGATCGAAAGAAAATAAGGGAAAAATAATACACAAACCTCGTGCAGTTACAACAATCACAATATTCATCCGTGACGTGTATAGGCTGGGCACGTATTACGTTCATGGGAAAGTATTTACTTTCATCAATAGAGTTTTTAACTCGTTCGCTTGTGCACGTTCACGTTTATAGAGGCACATTTACAGAAGTGATCAGGGTGCATTTTATCGTTTTCTTTGAAAAACTTGTATCGTACAGCTGAATCTGTACGAACAAATTTCTTTTTTTAATGATTAGATGCAACAATATCGTTCTAAATAATTGTACGATCTTAATGTCCTATTTAGTAATTAAGTGAGTTTAAGATTTTCCATTCTTTGAACGGAGCTAGATCTGCAAGACAAAACTAGTTTCCATTTTCTTCTTTCCTTGTTCGATAAGCTGATTGAAAAAGGAGAGGAGACGTGTGCTGGGTAATAATTGACTAAATTTCTGACAAGTAATTACGCTCTTTCGGAAAAGGTCGAAACATTGGCACGTAGTCGTCGATTTTCATTAATACGAAATCGTTCGTTAACATTTAGGCCCATCACTTGTGAGCAGGCAGTAATTCTGGAATCCTGTGTGCCAGCCGATCAACCAACGCACACACATACACAGATACAGACAGGCACGCACACATAAGCTCTCCTCCTCGTCGATTGTATAAAAAGAATCTCGTAATCGCTATTCCTTATTCTTTATCACGGTTATCAATAAACTAACCGTGTATTATTGAACCGATAGCGTTTTAATAAGCTTGTTTAAACTTCACTTCGTCTTCCTGTTTAACGTTTCAAGAAAAGTGGCTAAGTGTTATATAGGTGACACTCGATATAAGAGGTAGGTACAAAGCCCTCGATTGGTTGAGATATACGACGGACACGCGTCCAACCGTCCCCTTGATCTAATTCGATCATGTACAACTCTTCACCGTCGTACATCGGTATGGAACCTTCGCTGGTAGCTAAAAATGAAAAAAAAAGGTGTAATTTATTAAACAGTTGTAACTCGAGTTGTAATAAGTAAGTGAGACGTACCATCGAAAGGATAAAGCGCCCTACACGTTCCCAATGGTGGTTGAGCATCAATTTCATCGACATAATACTCTTCACCGCCGCTACCAGGAAGAGATGTCCTCGATTCTCCAAGGCCAGATTCCGGGCTATTCGTGGAACTGTGCATCAGTACCGTAAAGCGAAAAGCGTGTCTAATTGGTTTAGTTAAAAATTCTGATCTCTGCTTTTATATACGAGTTGTAAAACTCATTATAGCAACGATTCTGTTTCTCCGTTCAACGGAAAGGAAACCTTTCGTTTCGGAGGCTGAGCTAAGTCGGTGAAACACAATTCGAGACACGAATTTAATATTTAATTAGTAATTAGTAACTAATTGAAGCTTACCCATGCGTAGGTTGCGGCGTACCGGGAGCACTTTTCTTATGCATCGATTGGTTCGCGTTCGTGTTGCTAACGCTCGAATCAGATGCTGATCTTGAAAGGCTCTCCTCGCCTCCCGAATGACTGGATCTTCTTGAACTGAGCGGTCTCGTTGCAGAACCATTGCTGGTAGGTTTTCGTGGAGCTTGACTGGGACTGGAAATGTTAATAACAAAATGTACGATAAAATAAAGATAATCTAAAGAGAATTGTATGGAGATCGTAGAGTATCAAGTTCTGCAAGGTCACCTGGACAGGCTGACGCCAGCGCGCATTGCTTCCTCGAGATATCCTTGAAACTTTGCCAACTCTGCTCCGAGTTTATCCAGCTTGTTGCTCGATTGATTCAGTTGCCCTTCTATACTCATTGGATCGCCTAAAGCAGGATTTTGTTCGTATACACCCTTCATCTTCATCAAACCGTCCCTCGCTGCAGTTTCTTGTTGAATCTTTGCTTGAATTTCATCTAGCCTTTGTTGAAGTCTTTTCTTCCGTTGATTCGGAGGCAGGTCGCTACAATCCTCCTTCGCACCGTCACCGTATCCGGGCACGTTGTTCTGCAACGTTATAAATTGAGAATCGAAATCTTCCAACGATGGTACGAACAAGGATTTTTAATGAGATACGATGGAAAATAAAGAGGAGAAGAAAGCATTCGTTTGATCGCAGATAACAATGATATCATATACGAGTTACTTGTACGAATGAACAGAAAAAATTCAGCAATTCAACAGTTTGTTGATATTATGCATCATTATCGCTATCACTATTACTATTACTATCACTGTCACTCTCAATGTCAATGTTACTATCACGAGCATACGTGAGAGATGAACAAATTATCGTGTGAAATAAAAGATATACGTAAAAATGATGATTTTGATAAATAAAAATAGAGGACTGTCGCACGGAATGAGAATAGCGATTGTAAGGAGAAAGACAGACCTTTAAAGCTATGCACACCTCGATCAACTTCTGTTTTGTTCGCATGAAACAAATTCCAAAAGCGTATCATTCAGCGAATGAGTCAGAAACTATCTCAGCGGTGGTGTTGAGTAAAAACTCATTGTCAGTGAAAAGAAAAAATAAAAGAAAAAGAAAAAAAAAATGAAATAAAAGATTGAAAGACTTGTTTCGTTATACGTGAAATGGTATCTTTCTTTCTTTCTTTCTTTATCTCTGAATGTCTCTGAGTTTGTACTCGACCGGCAAGACGTATCTCTAACGACACATAAAATGATTACTGAACATTTGGATGCAGATAAAACAATAAGATGCTGGGTGTTATACAAGAATGGCAGGCGAACACAAACGATCTCGAACTGCAGGTACTTACTAAGTACAAAAGTATCCAAATTCATAGTCCACAGGTGTTTGGAAACAAGAGACCACAGACAGATCAAATCGTCCACCAAAATTAATAAAAAGTACAAAAGACAGATAAGTTATGCTTGCTTCGGAAAAATCGACAAGTAGGGATCATGCAAAATATCTGTGTAATCGAACCCCGACTGAACGGTTTTTTCAATCTTCAAGGCTAATTAATTGTAGATATTAAAAATATAAATAAGAAAAAATTGCTTGAAGGATACGAATCGTTCAACTGTTAGGTACCAATGTATCTTAATCTATCATTCATACGAGTGACTACACGAAAGAATTAAAAAACAATTGTGTGTATATTACAGGCTTGCTGACCAAACAATAATGCATACAATGCATTTACGATAATGATACAAGAAATAAAGAACAAAAGGATATTTCGTGCATGTCGTAACTATCTTTTGTTTCGTACTATAGGTATTCTGACATTCTTGAGAATTAAGAAATGGAAGAAGAAGAAAACGTGGACACACGTTCGAATCAGAATAATATTTCTGGGCGCAAAGTAAAGATGTACGGTAGCGAAATTCATGAAACAACATTTACCTTATTGCTACTGAATATGCCGAAAAGACCGACCCTCTTCTTAATTTTACCGCCGGAAACGGTGCCCTTTACCGTAAGGTGATTGTGTATAGGCTGCATCACTGGTTGCGATAACTGACTATTGCTATCGTACGTTTTAGCCACGGATAGATCTTCGAACGGGAAATCTCCTGGAGGTTGGAAACCGCTCTTGTAACGTTCGATCACCAATAATGTGTCTTCCTTTTCGTTGATCTCGTTCGCTGCTTTCTCGATACCGTCTAAACATTGAGCAATTATCGGTGCCACTGCTCGTTCTATCTCGACAGATTTTAACATGTAGTTTCGCATATTCTTTATTCTCTTCTCGTCAAGTTCCTAGAATATGATAAACAAAGGATAGTTCGTCAGAATCATCGACTATAATCTCGGTCAATTAAAAAATGAGATTTCAAAGATAATACCTGAAGGTGTTGAAATACTTCTGGCATGGCCGTGTGGTAATGCTGTGTTTGCATATCGTTTGTTTTCTGTAACTGGTTCGCGTACTCGGTCTTGGCCTCTTCGCTTTGCTGAGTCTTTAAAGTCATGTTCATCCTCTGCTTCTCTACCTGGGATGTAAATAAATCGTTTTTATCGTTTTTGTCACCTCTATTACATTGAATGAAAGAAAAAATAAACATCGTCAAGAAGGTCAAGTATCAGCCTTCTGGTTATTCATCAGTCGATTAAAAAATCCACCTACTTCTGCTCTGGAAAGATGTAGATCAGCGTCTGCCCTCTGATAATTCTCGACCGCTCTTTCCGCCTCACGGAATGCCTTCTCGTACGCCTTCCTGGCTCGTTCCAGATTCCCAATTTGACCGGTCAAGGTGGCCATTAATCTGGCACCCTCTTGAAGATGCTTCTTACGATCCTCTTTGAAATCTTTCACGAGAATATTCAATTCCCTTAACACGTTCGCTTGCAGATTCTCCGCGATCACTTCCCTCTGTCCCGCCTGATCGTTCACCTCGTTCAGCTCCATCTTGAACGCCCGACAAGGACTGTACCTGCAGGCGAAACAGATTTCGATACGTCGAGAGGATGTTCTGGGTTGCAACGGTGCGAACAGGAGATCTGAAATCTCCTATTGAAACGAACCAACAGGACAGATGAGACGAGAAAAAAAAAAAAGGGACTACTTTATTCGCGGTCTTGTGACTGGTAGCTGATAGTCGGTAGGTAGCCGCTAACCGAGCCAGTTAGCGAACTTATGTATCAAGTACAAAGGAACCCACCCACGCATTCGGATAATAGATTAGCTACGAATGTGATAAGAAAAATACTATTTTATTACAGGTAGAGGTACTTTGAAATAGAAATTATCCGTGTCGAGGAAGATTACTACGAAGCGTGGATCCGGTATTACGCTTCCAAGTTGGCTCACACTTACTGATAATCCTCCTCCTCTTTCTTCTTAGGTTGATAGCTCTTCACAAGACGTCTGCAATCAGAAACGAAACAAGATTACCGATGCACGTGCATCGAGCGATTCTCAAGGGAAACGTTGCGCACACTGGTAACTCTAACTAACGATAAGTGTAATGTACGAAAAAAATCTTATATAGATGATTTTTCTGAAAGTAAAGAAAAATCCAAGTTCGAATGGGAAGCCTTGTTTCAGCTGCGGTTTCAGATTATATCCTTCATTAATGACGAAGCAAAAATTGTCTATTCCAAAGATAGACAGAAGAAATGTTTTTACGGAGCGTTGCGAAATTGGGTGACGAACGATCTTGGTAATTTCGTCGACAACATATGATAGTTTTTTAAAATAGAACACGTGTTTCCGGTTAATTTGAAAGAAACGTTCCTTGAAATTCGTAGCACGAGTTACGTTTAGTCATTCGCGTGACACGAAAATAATAGCGGCCAAGTAATTGTAATTTGAAATTTGAACGTGGGGCCACAAGAAACGAGCGATAAATGTGTGCCAGTGCACTATCATCCGGAAGTTGACGTGTCCTTGATACCAGATCAACCGTACGTTAACTGGCCTTAACGTTCGTGAAAATGTTCGCGATGAAAACAGGCATCGATTTCTAAAATACCAAGACATCGTGTACGTTGTAAGCAAGCAAGTTATTTTCGAGTCAACTCGAGTTCCTCTTTCCAGGTCTCGGTTACCAATCAAAAACTTCAGCTCCGCTAATTTTTCAAACGAAACGCGGTAGATTGAAAGAATCTCGTTGTATCGATTCGCAGCGTTCGGAATGCGTTCGATGAAAATGGAACGGTGCATCGAGGGAAATTGCCGGAACGATAAACGGTATTGCATTTGTACCAGTAACGCGAGCGTGTATCGCTGAAATTACGACGCATTAAGGCGAGGGAACGTGCTCGCGATAATTTATATGCAACGGAACGAACGTGCCCCGGGGATAGAAGCGTGTGACGAGCACGCGAAATTCTTCTCAAACGTTACACGCGCGAACTGATTAATCGTAAGAGACAACGATAACTAATCGGGACAATTAAATCCGATCGGATTGAAAAAAAAAAAAATGGTAAAAATCGATTCGCGCGACGCTCTGGTTCTGAGACAGCCGGTAGGACAAAAGTGTCGGCAAAACAGTAGACGGCATTCACGGGACAAACAAGGGGTCCCTTTAATACAATATTACTCTGGCTACCATCTTGTGTCCGTGAACTCTATAGGGTGCGTGAGACACGCTCATTATACAGGATGTCCCATTGAAATCGTTAACTTCGGATATTCCCCTGTTGTTAATTTATGCACAAAAGAAGAGCATACGTGTATGTCAAGCTAACGCTTGAATAAAAACAAGTTCAACGCAATAGCAGAATCTATTTAAGAAAGATATCTGATATTTTTCACCTGAGTTTTGCAGCGTATTCCACTTCGATGGCGCATCGATCTCGAATGAAGTGGCCATACCTTTCGAGAAATTCTATCCCCTTTTGCGTGTGCAGGGATAGATTCTCAAACTGGTCCTGTAACAGAAAGAAACGGATGAAATTAGTAGACACGCTCCTACGAGAAAGTATAATCAAGCGATATCGCGTTGGGTGTTTTCGACATCCGTCAATTAATAGGCTGAAATAGCCCCTTCACTCTTTCTCTTTCATTTCTCCTAGGAACGAGAAAATGGCAGTAATTTCTATGTACGCAGACTCGACCTTCTAAGAAAAGCTCACTGTTGGCACACATCGTAGACTGGCCACCTTCCTTCGGACAATGAGAGATTTCGCAATGGTGCACACGATATCGCGGTATCGCGCTTGTCTGCTAGCAGGTATGGTAGAAAGATTTCTGCCCGTTTAGCGGCTTGGCACGAAAAGTGAAACTGGCCTCTGTTACCGCAACGTGGCACAACTCTTCCAACTGGTCGACGACCGAGGAACCGCCATAACTTCTGACCGTTTATCGCTGTTATAAATCGTAGAAATCGCCCTCTTCTTCTTTCATCGACGAATTTTCATTCACGATTTTCAGCGAGTTCGATGAATGGGCAACGTGGTTGGATAGATAAGCTCTCTCCCCGATCAACGTCTACGAGAGCGTGACCCGATTAATCGGGACTCCGATTCATTCATGCCGAGAGAGAACATATGGATACACCAAGTATGCATCGCGTTCTCACCTTGCGCCCGTTTCTTTGATTTCTTTCCCAAACGACGACCACGTATAGCGCCAGGATAGCCAAGGTTCTGGGAAAAGTTGGAGCAGCTTTGACGTTAGCCGAGTCAGGCGGAATGCAAACTTTATCGTTCAAGGACGATCCTGTCTTTCAACATTTAGCTACGGCTTAAGGACAAGTCGTGCTACCGCTCCGACGTTTACCTAGATCGTGTTCAGAAAAAGAGAGTGGAACAGAGAGAGAGAGAGAAACAAGTCGATCGTGTCGACTATTGCTCCGGCATTCGAAACGCGTTACTTTCATTTCCAACAAGTAGCCATTCAAGGGCCACGCACCAATTGTTCAAACAGGGAGCAAAGGATGCGCGTGTTACCTTCTCGAGATCCAGCTAACGATCCGGACCCATTAAAGTAATTAACTTTTATCCTGCGAGTCGACGATGAAATATGAAAAATGAGGGAAAGAGCTGCGAGTCATCGAATCGTCAGTTCCAGGTTTAATTAATCGACGCTAACGATCGAACTAGAATTTCTTGTCGCCATAGAATTATCTGCGTATTTATACTATATAAGGCGAAACGAAGCTTTTGCAGCGCAGATTTGCGACAACCTCATTTTGTCGTCGCAAATAGAAACACCGAGAGGGTAAGCTAATCAAACGAGGTATAACATGATACTTGGATGAATAACGATACACAGGAGGTGATACGATACTATGCGTGGCCGATATATGGCCGATATATGGCCGATAGACGAGCAAACTGGATATCGACGTTATAGGTAGCCGATCACAATCACGATCACGGATCCGAGGAACGACGATTCCCCGGAGAAAGATATTTTTCCGAAAGGCGAATCAGTCGATCGTGACTTTCTCATTGTGATAACTGTAAGTAGTTGCCTCGTGACCGGTCAATTTGCAACTAAAATAACGGAGAACTGGTAGCGCAGGTGATAGTCCAACTCCGACTTTCAAACGTTAGCGCAACAGGAAAATCATTTTATCTTTTTCCCCTTTTCCTCGCCGATCCAATTTGTCTGCATCTCGATCGATCGTTGATTTTATTTTCATCTAGATAACTCGGATATCGACCGTCTAATTATTCGATTAACGCGTTAAGCCTTTCGGTCTGTCCGCGAGAAAACGGGAATGTTACGCAAATCGCTTTGAAGGAAATGGTTAACGTTCCAAGTAGGATATTACGTTAATACTGTGATAGGAAAAACAGGTGAGACCGTTAAAAAACCGTATCCTATCGTGTATCGCGTGAAAAATCTTTTAAATATAGAAATGTGGAAATTTGAAAATTGCCAACGCTACAAAGAAACTCGATAAAAGGAGTCTATACGAATTTCTATACGACCTCGAAGAAATCGGAAAAGCTATTCGATTATCGGTCGAGGAGATGCGAATGAAATGATATTATAGTCCATTATCTGAAATCGATTTCGTGCCGTGCAAAGGGCCAGGTTTTCCCTTCGCCCAATCCAACGTTTTCAGTGGCACAGGTCGATAGATGGAAAACGCGCACACTGAACCACCCTATGACTCACCCTACCTCGACCTTTCTTTCCTTTTTTTTTCTTTTTTTTCCAAAGAGCCGCACTTGTACATCGATCTAACCTTGCCAGCCGCAGACTATTCAGGTCGGGTTTGTTCGTCGTCAGAGATCGCTTCGAAGCTTTCCATTATGCACGCGTATGGCAGGTACCCTTTGCCAGAGCACCTGCCGCCTTTATCCGCTACTTTCTTCTTGCTTTTACCATATTCCCAGCCGAACTTTCAGCCTTTCCAATTGGTCCTCGAGAAATATTCGGGACACCTCCGGTGAAACTGCTTTGACGCAACTCTCACAATCGAACGGTATTTCTTTTTCTTAGATTAATTCCTGGAAAATTAGCATTTTCCACCTGCTATTTTTCCCTTTCTATCCTTCGTACTATACGTTCGTTGCCTACTATCCTAAATACCAACCACCAGATAATTTCTATTTACCGCTGATCTCGTTAACATTATAAGACCTATCGAATCGCTCCAATTCCTTTATAACTTTGTAACTTTACTTATCCCGTTCCCGACACACCCATCGCTATTACTTATAGTAATTAAAACGTGCTCTCATTATACCTACATACCTATCAACGCGACTCTTCGTCATTGTACGCTACCGAAAATACATTTTCCAGTCAATGAACGGATAAGAACGTCTCCAAGAGTGGACCGGTGTTAATTAATTCGAGGAGAGGCAACGGAAAAGAAAACGCACCCGGAAAAGCGAGAAAGACGAGCACCCGTTGGAAAATCAATAGCGGGGAGCAAGCGAATTACGTGCTATCGTGGGAGAAAAAGCAAAAAAAAAAAAAGAAAAGGACGTTGTAAAAATAGTTGCGTAAAACAAAGAGACCCGCGAACGAGAACGAAAGCATGTGGACTCGAACAAGTGTGTATTATGAGTCACGAAATCGCGCTAGGGGTGCTTTTGCTTTCCTACCCTACACCCTATTGATCCTGCATTTCTCTGTGTATACCGTGTATGTACTGTATGCACTCACGCAACTTGAAACGAGCGAGAAAGAGAGACAGAGGATAGGGTGACGAGCAGACAGACGTACAGACAACGACGACCAACAAAAAGAGAATACATATACAGTGCAGAAAATAACAGGATTAGTCACCAGAAACGGAACACACCTAGTAGATACATACTATTTTTATTTCTTCAAATATGAAATACGAAATAAGTTTATTAGAATTCTGTAACATGGCAGGGATGATTTTTTCAGATTTCAAATTGGACTAATTTTTTTATAATTATATTAATACGTATACATAATATACTGGACCAGTTTGTATGGAAATCTCTGACTCACTTTGCGTACATGGAATTACCTAGATCCCTTGGTAACCACAAACGATATCAAAAGAGAATATAATATTTTTAAGTGGCTACGATGAGTGATCGAATATTAGCAAAGAGCGATCGAGTGTTATAATACACCATATACTTCATACCCTATGTATATAAACAGGGTGTGGCTTGCGACAAAAGGTAAACGTTTGCTACCGAAACATATTTCTAAAATCTAAAACTATAATTCTATGATACGATATAGAGTCTATAGTTTCCAGATAAATAAAATCCATCCTAGACGGATAGATTATCGGAAGAGTAAAAGAAAAATGGGTTAAAGAGAAACAATGGTAAGCGATTCGCTGAGACGAAACGACGATAACGATACTCTTTTATCTTACTTAGCCAAGTTCGTGTCCGCGTGTAGTAAGCAGTGAAACAGGAGAGCATGGTGGCTGCATTTAATAAGCAGACGGTACACACGTTGAACGAACGTTGTGAGAACGTACGTGCACGTCTGTAGGGTCGCTGGCTCGTGCGGTGCATACGGGTGCACGCAACATGCTCGAGGTGGTGCATAGTTAAACGTGCGAAAGAAGAAAAGAAAGGAAAACATTGGAAAGACTAATTGCTAGTAGAGTCGCGAGACCGTTGACGGATACACGGTACATGGCTGCTGCACGATAGAGAAACGTTCAGAATGCATCTTCGTTGTCTGTAATGCAACCCCGCCGCGTGAATAATTCTCTCGAGAAATCTACGCATCGCCATGTATTTCGATGTCTTTCAAAAATAGCATGCTTAACCCTCAAAGACGAGCACCCCAGAGAAATGTTGCTCTCTCCCTCTCTCTCTCTCGTCTACTATACCGGCTGCGTAGACGATTTTAGAGTCTTTCAATTTTTCCAAATGAAACGAGCACTAGGACAATCGCTTTTTCTAACTAAAACAAACTCCTTACACCTTACTATGATGATAGTTTCATACTTTCCGCTTTTGTACTTATTGTTCTCAAATACTCTAAGGACTTTTGAAGGGTTACAATTCGACACACACCCTTCCAGATCGTTTACTCTGTGACGATGAAACGGAACAAGGTAGAGTAAAAATACTCGAGATTTAGGCACCCTCCAGTCTCTAAAAAGGGGCCATATATACCGTGAAACGAATGCCGACTGTACTTGGCCCATGAAACGCGAAAATTCAAACACGATTTTCTTCACTTTCTTCTTTCCGTGACCTACCGAGGAGGTACACTCGACGTCCGTTTATAGTTGAAACTCTTCAGCATTCAACATACTCTTAACACTCGACTCAATTTTCCAAGGATACCAAACTTTTCACACGCAGCAGATCCTTGCTCTTGAGCTTTTAATAAACGTCATAAATCATTGCGGATGTTCGCACAAGTGGGGTGGTTTGATCGATCTAATTAACAGACCTCCGCTCTTCGATAATGCCACGTTTATTCTCGACTTATCGTCTTCCAGGAAGATCTGCCT